TCCCCCATACTTGTAGTCGAGGCCTGAGCCACCCCCGTTGGCGTTCTCAGACTCGACTCATAGGGCGGTTCATTGCCACACGCATCTCTCCTTGTTTAAGAACCAGGCTGACAGGACCTTGGAATCTTATTAGATCATTAGATCTTCTCCGGCTAATCTTGCTCTGTCGAACCCCTTTGATGAATCGACGTCACCGCCCGTTGACTATCCAACACCGTCTGAATCATTTGCCCTGCCGCTAGGACGATTTTCTTCCACCACCGGAGATCAAGTTTTTCTTTTGACAATCTGTGTTTGGCGAGCATCAAGTCATCATCTCTACCAGGTTCGCCTTTGAACCGTAAGATCACCCTCTGATAACACTATTGACTTGGATTGGAAGGATGGGGCGCATGCGCGGGGAAATGGCGGAAACTAGCATTCTCATCAAGACTGAGCCTGACGAGCACAGCAGTGACCCACACCATTATATAATGTCGCAATCCGGCTATTCGATGTCAAACCAATTCGGAAACCCCAATGAAGGGGTTGACCCCTCGGAGTTGAGCATGCAGAACGGCTTCATGTCATACCCGTTCTCCTCGCAACAGAACCTTTCCTCTAGTTTTAATTTCGGTAACTCTGGGATCGATACCGACGAGCTGCTGGATTTGGAAATCAACGGCCACAATGGAGTCCAACAGAACTATCTCCAGGACCAACAGTCTAGCGCTGGGATCTCGATGAGTCACCCGGGCCAAATGTCACAGATGTACTCCAACACGCCAGACGGAGCTCCCATGCACAGTCCATTCATGCATAGTTTCAATTATGACCACTTCCGGAGCATGGGCCAGCCAGGACAAGCGCCTCACCTCCAGGGCAACGGATCCCATTTTGACCAGAGCTATCTGAATGCCAAGGCTCGGCCAAGCATACAAGCGCTCGACCGGGCCTCGTACGATGGACGCAGCCCGATGACCCCCAAGACCCCAGCGCTGGGCGCTTTGACCCTCGGGACACCGGAGTCTGGGAGCTTCCCTACTCAACCTATTCGGACTGGCCTTCAGCATCGGCACCAGAAGACGCTATCCAACCAGTGGGATGGTACGCCCGGGAGTGCGCATTCCTATGTGGAGTCACCCATCTCATCTCCTGGCCATCCATCTCACCATGCAGGGATTTCGGAAATCCTCAAATCGGGCAAGCATGCCTCCTTGCCGGCCAAGGTTGATACGCATATGCCAGGGTCCGCACAGGATTTAGAATCGCAAGAGGCGAAGCGGCGCCGTCGCAGAGCCTCTCACAATCTCGTCGAACGCCGGCGGCGAGACAACATCAACGAACGCATTCAGGATCTTTCCCATTTGGTACCCCAGCACCGCTTGGAGGATGACAAGGTTCGTAAGCAGCTTGTCAACAATACTGCCATGTCTGGTACCGGAGCTACCGCCAATGCTGCAACATCCTTGCTCGCTGGAGGCAATGGGCGCCGCGCCACTGCTGGTAACATCACCATGGGTCTCCCAATCGAGGAAAAAGAGAAAGGGCCCAACAAGGGCGATATTCTCAACGGAGCAGTCGGTTGGATGCGGGACTTGATGTGGGCCCTGCACGTCAAGCTTCAACAGGAGTCAGAGCTGGCAGAATTGATCAGCAGGCTGGGTGGCACTTGGCCGTTTGAGCAGACTGAGGAGGAAAAGCGTATGCGCACCGAGATCCTCGATGCGCTAGAGAAGAATGATCCTAGCTCCTTTGCCTATAGCAGAGCGCCAGGCAGCGGTCTCCGGGTGCCCAAGCACACCAACATTGCCGGGGATTCTGTCAGCGGCAACGGAACATTGAGCCCCCAGAGCCTGAGCCCACCCTTCAACAGTGGCAGCAGCAGCAATGGCGGGGGCCCTGGACAAGCCCAGTATTGGAATAGCTCGGGCCATGCTGGCATGAGCTTCAAGGAAGAAGACGAATACGCAATGGAGATGAACTGAATCTTGTTCACGCTCCGGATGAGCTCTGCCTTTCATATCTTGAACGACTGCATGTCATGACCTTGTTGTACACAAAGGCGTCAAATGGGTGACCGGCGTACGCGGAAGTTTTGACAGATTTCGTCGAGGCTAATGGCTGAAATGACCTCTATTGTCATCGGTTCTCAAGGGTGTGCTTTGATTCCTTGTTCTCTTCTGCCTTCATTTCTCAATTTTGGATGGCTTTTGATTGATGTTGCTGATGCGAGTTTATCTGTTATGGCTTTGGACTTTGCTCTCCTTAATGGCGACTGTCGTCGGATTTTGATTTTACCTTGACATATACGTTGTTCCTTTGGCTCTTTTCCTCTCCTTGCTCGTTTTTACATCGATACCCTTTTCCCTTTTTAATTATACGCTTGATACGCCTTGACAATCTTGCTTTTTTGTTGTGTGCTAACGCATGGAAACCCATTCTCGGGCGTCATTAACGGCTGACCGTTTCGACCTTCATAATATAAGTCATTTATATAACGATATTTGCATTCAATACTTGACTCGATTGATATCTAGCCAGTAAGCCAGTAAGCTTGTAATGATCGACGGTCGGCCTCGACCCCTTGAGGTGGATGGTAGGTAGAGTATGGTGTCACTGTAGGGCAGATGCACAGGGTATGCACATACTAGAAGGGGAGTGGCGGCCCTCAGCCCACCTGGTGGGTACTAGGTAGGTGGGTGATGGATCCGAACTGGGATCCTGTCAAATGTGGACGAACTACTGTAGGACCCTGGGTGCTGTGAATGGACGAGAGAGGAACTGGGGAACACCCTTGCACGTGCGTGCGGTTCCTCCATCCCCAGCCTTACTCGGCGCCGCCGCCGCCGCCGCCGCCGCCGCCGCGTCCTAAAAAGTCGTAGCGTCGATGGGAGGGAGGTATGTACCGTTTGTGTATCTGTGGTGTAGCGGGTAAATGGTCTACCCGCCGAGTTGATCTTTGCGTGCCCATCTATGGAGTATTTCATTTCTTTCTAGGGTAGGTCATGGAAAGGGAGTTATGTAGGATGCACTTCGCTGTTGACTAGCATCTTTACAAATGGCTGGCTCTCTGGTTTGGTATCACATCAACGGATGATCATATTCTGCATGCAAATACAAGAAAGGTTATTCATAACAACGACAACGACAACAATAGAGGATGAATCTATTGCGACAAGATAAGATAAGTCGGATATCTCTCTTCTATCCTTGCTCCTTTTTTTTCCCCTCTCTCTCTTTCCCCCCTCTTCTATCATGATGATCATAAAGAAAAAGTAAAAACAACAACAACAACAACAACCAAATCAGCAAAACCCAGAAAGAAAGGGAATCTACTCATCGCGCATCTTGCGGAAGAAATCCATCACGCCGGTGAACACGACCAACAGGATACCACCGCCGGGGCCCAGCCGCAGGACCTTGGGGATGAAGCCCTTGTACAGGGCGCCGAAGCCTTCCTCCTTCATGACGGTGCCGACGGCGGGCCAGGCCCAGTTGTACTTGGGGACCTGGCCGGGGATCTTGTCGGTGTTCTGGATGCGGCTCTTGACGACGTCCATGGGAGTGTTGAGGATGGTACCCGCGGTGCCGCCAACGGTTCCGGCGATGAGGTCGTTGCGGGTCTGCTGGGCCTTGTTGCCGGGCTCGGCGGCGGGGAGCTGCGCGCGCACCTGGAAGATGCAGCCGAAGTACCCGGAGTTCCAGAGGATGTGGCGCCACAGGGTGGACTCGAGGCCGTTGTACAGGGCCAGGGGTCCCTCGGCCGCGACGATCTTGCGCACCACGTCCAGCATCCCGTTGTACTTGCCGGCCGACGCGCGGTCCTGCAGCCGGATCTTGACCAGCTCGAAGGGCACGACCACGAACGACTCCGTCGCACCCGCGGTGGCGCCCGTCAGGATGGCGAGGGACTGCGTCTGCTCTGCCGCGCCGAACAGGTTCCGGTAGAAGCTGCCCCAGCTGTCGTTGGCGGCGAATTTGGTCGCGCGCTTGGGCGCTTCCATCAGGATCGGGGCGGAGATTCCGCGGTACAGGCGGGAGAAGCTGGTGCGATTGAAAGGGGAGGTGTTAGTTTGTGGGCCTCGGGTTGGTGGTGTGGTGTGGTGTTGGGGTTTCGGACGGAGGAGGAAGGAGGAGGTTGTTTACCCTTCGTTCTTCACGATCTTGCGCAGGCAGTCGAACATGCCATTGTAGTGGTCTTGTCCCGCGGTCGCGGCACCGGTCTGAAGTTGACTATCAGAGCGGTCATGGTGTGTTAGTCCAAAGTTGTTTGTTTGTGGGGTGGATGGCAGGGAGTCGGAAAAGGTGCTTGGTGCTTGGGAGGCTTACACTCGGGTCTTGACCACGTCAAGTGGGTACCTGGGGTTAATGCTTGTTAGTCATTGCAAACATTGGAGAGATTATGAATGCATCGTACATGACCAGAATCTATCCCATCAATGTTAGCTTCCATGTTGTTCAGAGTCAATTGATGGGGATCACGCGATGCGTACCTCGGACACACCAGCCACGGCACCAGCAATGAACTGGTACTGGAAGGGCAGGGGCTTCTGTTGGTTTTGGCTGGCCATTTTGATGATGATTGATTGGTAAAAAGAAAAAGAAAACAATTGAAAGGAGGAAGAGGAAAATGCAATGACACAACTGAAGAACGGAATGGAAGTGCAAGAGGAAGAAAAAGCGAAAAGAAGCAAATGGGGTTGGAGTGGAGCGGGCCAAGTTGAAAGAGGAGAAGGAGGAGAAGGAGGAGGAGTCAACTTGAAGGCGGCGGCATCGGAGAGGGTCGGAGGGTCTCTTGACTCTCTCTTCACCGGGATTCCTCCCGATCCGGTAAAGCAACACGCCCCACGTGCTCCAAAGCCCCACGGGGCTTTTTTGCCTGTCAAAGCTGAATCGCTTATCCGTGAGCCATCAATTACTTTTACCTTTTTCCGCATTGCCTGTCGGCTTGGGCTTTCATTTAACCGTCCGCGATCTCAAATCTTTCGTTATAACTAAGGCTATCAGCTCATGCTTAGGACTGTTATAGCTACTGCAACTACGATGCTCACTCCTGCCATCCCTTTTGACACCCCTCTCTTTTGACTTCCACTCGTCGGTTGCTCCTTCGAGACAGTCTCCGTGGCCGTCGAGACTGCCGTACAGCTGGAGCCGCAGCGGTATCCCGTCGGACAGCAACCACCCCCAACTGTATCGGCGCAACTAAACCACCCACTCGCGCATCGGCCCGTACTGCTGCTGCTGCTGCTGCTGGTGGTTGCCGCTGTGGCGGCTCCCGTGGCAGTGGTCACCGGGACCACAATAGTGACTCCATCACTAGCGATAGTCGTCGAGGGCGTCGCTGGACAAGATGTGGTGTCGCAATCGCGACCCGTCCGGCAGCACCCACCCTGGTAATATGCCGAACAGGCATAAAACCCCGTCGGACAGACTGACACGGTCGCGGTGCTGGTAGTTTTGCTGGTGCTGGAGCTCGTGGCCGTGGACACACTCGTAGGCCGTGCGGGAGGAATCAGATCCCCCGTGGATAGCGTGTTGGTAGTCGCGGCAACTGTCTGTGTGGAGGTGGACAGCATAACGGTCGAGCTCACGGTCACCGTGATGGTAAAGACCCGCATACCTACGCACGAGATCAGCATAAGTCTTGCAGCGGGGGGACGCTTATCATTAGAATCCACTTACAGCCACCAGTAACGCACTCATAGCCTGGAATGCAGCATCCGCCGCCCATGGATGACGGGCAGCTGGAGTACCCCTCGGAACATGAGCCGATGGTGCCCGAGCAGGTCTTGCCCTTCGGACAACAGCCCACGTCCCCGGACCCGGTGTCCTTGACCAGGACGCACGTATCATCCGTACTGCAGCAGCTGTCGGGCCGGTCGATCGATGTGCAGTTGGAGGTGCCGCTCGGACAACGGAAGTCCCGCCGAAGAAGCGGTGAGAAATCCGCCCTCCAACCGCGCCCCTCGCCTTCCAAACCACTCGAGTACGAGGGGTTGAAGGGGTATGTCTGTGGTTGAAAGTCGACTTCTTCCGTCGTTTGTAGGTTCTCAGAACGTCTGGCTGGCGACGTCAACTCATCGGCGGTGTTGGACGAGTTGCCGATCGTAGAATAGTTCTCCTCGTCGTCAAATTGCCAATAATCCATGAGGAACTTTTCGCCCTCATCATCGCTCATCTTCCTGACCCCCCGTATGGGCCGATGTCCAAGGTATGACTCAATCAGAGCATTGCGCTGTATGATCTGATCAGATTGCGTGATGTCGGATGTCGAGACATTGCCTGCGGTGACGGATTCGGCAAATGATGGCCATACGACGCAGGCCAGGAGGGGTGCGAACAACATGGGAGTTAAGATTGCGACCAGAGTGACTGGGGATGTCAGCCACAAAGCCTTAGAGGACAGATCAATGACTGGGAGTGACAGGCGTGCATACCTTCGTACAACCGCGATCCTTATCAGCGATAAAGGATTTCGGCAGGCGTAGTATAAAATAAAGGTGGCTGGGAGAAATTGGGGGAGAATCGACAGGCAAGGCAGCAAAATAGACTTGTCGGTAAGCAGATGGGCCACGCATGCTAGCAGTACAGTGATGTAATTGCTTCAAGGTCTTAAATGTCCTAATCATAGTGCGAGGCCGTCGAGACTGAAAATGCTATGTTTGATGTGAAGCTGTCGGGTTACTTACCGTGCAGACCCACTTTGCATCTGGCCCAATATTCCACCTGCTGAGAGAATATTGAAATGGGAACCATACTCAACCTAAGACCGCACTGGACTCGGATCTGGTATCTTGAATTTGTGGTCGGTCCGTTTCGCTTCATCGTTTGTTTATGGTCTCACAAGCTGTTTAGTATCTCTTTCCATCACTTGATGTTGTTGCAACCGATCCTACATCCTGATGAAAAAACCCTAGTTCGCTCGCCTTCCTTGCTACCTTTGACTCCCCAGACCATGATCAGAGAAGGCTTTCAGATCATGACCTCGGCGCTCTTCAGCCCACTTCAGCAAGGCGGCATAACCACAACAAGCCCGCTTATTGCCCCATCCAATAACACCACCCAGCCTGGCGTCCACGGGCTCTAACGTAGTATCAGCTGCACACATCAAGCTCTGGCGCAGATAACCAAGACAGTGTCGCATGTGTGGATTGGTGCCGTGTTGCTTGTGCCCCGCCGTTCGAGTCCGCAGATATGGCCTCGTAGTAGCCCAGGTGGATCGACCACTAAGGATCTTGTCAGCCTTGTTTCTGTCTTGACACTAGCCCAGTCATATTTGCAAGAGCCCAAGAACCGAGACAAGCATACCAATCAATGCAGTTGTTGGCTCACCGATAAGGTGCAGTTCGTTTGATCGCTATCTGCGGTGGCATATCGCACTGTGCCTTGGCCCACTGGCAAGATAATCAGTACGTTTCCCAAGGGTTCGAGAATTCTGGAGTCTGCCACTCATAAGGAACGATAGACTCCGAAGCTGGCTCGGTGCTGTAGTCGAAGACATCCGTGAAGGTCCTGGGTGGAGTGGCAGCTGAGGGGGGAAAGAATAAGCATAGTCAGCTGAAGAGGGCTCAACAGTGATATACCAATAGGGAACCACGTCTCTCCGAGAATCAGGGAATTATATGACATGATCATGTCAATCAAATGGCGGGGCATTTGTCCCTCAGCACACTGCGGGTCAAAACAAAACAAACTTATTTACAAGCTTCCGCGACGGAGCAGAGGAACTTAAGCAAACGCATCATCCTTCTGGCATGGATCCTAGTGATCGATACTGACTATAGATCTATGGCACAGTTCATCTAATCCAGCTGATACTATCATGACTCTGTGCATCGCAGAATTGAACCACAATCTCAGATTGACCAAGGAGGCTGAATTCATTCAGAGATGGACACTCAACCAAATGATGTACCACATCTCGTGAGCGACCACATTGCAGGTGCTATTCTAAACGAACGAGACGGTTGGGTTGGACTCGTTGTCTGATGAGGTGCATTGCTTGCATCTACCTCGGTGACCATGGCTGTGTGTAGAGTATGGGAGACTGGGTTTGGAGCGAAGTGGATGATGTGAAGTGGTCAGCTAATGAATTCGTACTCTTAACCGACGAGTTCGGCAAGCAAATGCCTACCTTACTGGAAGGTCGACCAACCCGGATTCCTCCTTGAATGCGGAGTAGAATCCGAATCTGTCAAGAGCTCCGTACTGCTACCCTCTGCCAAGATATACTATCCACAGGACACGGCGTGAATATTGAGACAATTCTTATAAGATTTCGGATCTTGGCGATAGGGGCAGCACCCGGGAGAGCCCAGAAAGAAGGAGATACAACGACAAATAAAGGAAGGAAACAGACAGGGATCCGCTTCGCATAGCCATTCACGCCCCTCATCGTCTAAGGCATCATGATGCGAGGCATAGTAAATGATTGCAAGAGTGATTGTTGTATAGCTGAGTAGTATGAAGGTATGGATCATCCAAGGGATATCAGTCAGGCAATCGCTCTGTGTGACTGTGAAAAGGAAACCAGATTGAGAGGACGTGTTTTCGCTCCAGAGCGATTTGATGAGATGGTTGATCTCAAAAATGCTTTAGATGATCTCTCGGTCCATAATTACCTCTTGCTGTCCGCTATTTGCTACATGGCGAGGGATCAGACCAGGGGTGTTGCCGACCAGCTTTCAGTGCTGTGCAAGCGAGACTGTCACGTTGCCCCGTCCATTACGGCCTGATTTCTACACTCAGCCTTCAAATATATCGGCCTGGGTATAAATCACCCCTCGTGCTATATTCCCTTTGGAAAACTGCTTCCCAACAACATCACCCTTAACTCCCAGAGGCAAACCTAACTTTCATCCTCGTCCCATCCACCGGTTTAGCAGTAACCTGCATCGTCTAGAGAACGTCGCGTCAGCCAACATATCCTATGCACACAACCCCAATCACCACCAACCAGCAAGAGCAAGAAGAAGGCAAAACTCACATTAAACAATTCCTCCAGTACTTCAAACTGCCCCTTTGCACCAAGCACCGGCCGACCCCCAGCATCCCTCACAAGCGCGCCCAGCCCGACTTTCTCGAAATCGAATCGCCGCACAGTGCAGGCCAGAATGACTCGGGCCTCGATATTGACCAACCCCTGTCCAATACAATTGCGGGGCCCACGCTCAAATGGCCGCCACGCACTGACGGGAATCTGCTCACCACCCGCAACCTTCTTCCCACTATCGTCCAGAAAAGCGCCACCGCCACGTCTGGCACCTTCCTCACCAGCCGCGCTCCCCTCCAACCACCGCTCCGGCCAGAACTCCTCTCTCGTCGGCCCATAAACCGCCTCGTCGCGCTGCACCAGCGTCGCACAGTTGTACATGACCACCCCATCGAGACACATGGTCCGCCCATCGGGGAGGGTCACCGTGAACCCCGTCCCGGGGGGCATATACCGCGCCGAGCCGGAGGGGGGATGTAACCGGAGGACCTCCTTGATGACCGCAGCGGTATACGTCATCTGCGACAGATACTCGTCCCCCCCGGCGAGCAGCATCTCCGCCACCCTGGCGGGGGCGGAGGAGGTCTCCTTCCCGAAGAGCGCGTCGAGCTCGCGACGGACCGCTTTCAGCACGCGCGGGGTGCGGCTGAGTTCGTAGAAGATCCACTGCAGGAGGATGCTGGTGGTGTCGTGGCCGGCAAACAGGAAGGATTTGAGCTGGTCGGCGGTTTCGCGGATGATCTGCGGAGTGAGGTGGTCGGTGTCGTGGAGGCTGAGGGCGAGGATACTTCTGGATGAAGAGGAGGAGGATCTTTTGTCGGTCGTAGTCGTCCGAAGCTCGGTGAACTTCGTCTCGATGTGGGCTTGCAGGAGGGCGTCGATCTGTTGGACGAGATACCTGCGGCGGAGGAGGATGAACGGGCCGAGGAGCCAGGTGAGGCGGAATTTGCTGACGTTGCTGTCGCGACGGTAGGTGGCTAGTAGCTGGCGGTAGAGGCGGGCGAGTTGGCTTTGTTGGTGGGCGGGGAGCTGGGCGTCCAGGTCGGTGTCCATTGTTGCGGCTCCTAGAAGCAAGACAATTAGACATCTCACGTTGGTGTAGAGGAGAGATTCCACAATAGACAACAATACCGATGATATCAAGCGTCAAACTGGTGCAGCGGTCCTCGAGGGAAAACTCCTCCCCCGTCCGTGCGTACTCATCCAGACACTGGATGAAGATTCGTGCTTTGTCAACGATGCAAGGTAGCAGCGTGAGGAGATGCTGCGGCGCAAAGCCCGGATTGTATCGCTTGCGCAACGCTTTCCACTGCTCGCCCTGAGGCATGGAATATTTTTTATCAGTGGTCGATTTTCACACACACACACACACACACACACACACACTAAGAAGGGTGCGCACAAACCTCCGCGGTAATCACGGAATGGGGCCCCAGTAACGGCTCCAGCGATTTCATGGTTGGGGATTTGCGCATACTATAGGGAAAGCCCTTGGTGCTTCGGGAGATTTGCTCGGCGACTTCATGGTTGCAGACAATCCCCAGGACGCCCACCACCGGGCGGAGGTCGAGAAGATACAGCGGCGGATTGCCCAGGTATTGCTGCACCTCCCCGAATACATGGTCTGCATTTGTTAGATCGAGTACGATATTCTAGGTGTCAGAAAGGTAACATACCGACATGTCTGCGACGCTCCCCACGACTAACGAACTCGTTCAGTGCTTTCATGTGTCCCCAGACCAGGGAGGGAGGAAGCTGCGGCCAGGAGGCATGCTGGTGGAATCGCAGATATCGAAGCCATTGCCACAAGTATATAGCCAGAAGAGGCAGCAGTGCGAGGGATATAGTTAGTACAAGCATTGGTAAATGAGCATGATGCTGGAAAAGTTAGGGATGGAAGTTTGTTTGATGTTGCAAGTTGACATCATATCAGATGGGGAAACTGAGGGGGTTACATTCCGAACCCGTGACATGGAATTCCCTCCCCATTTGAAAAAGGTGACAGGGATATCAAACCCCCTACCAAAAAGCAAAAACCACCGTTGATGTCACATTGCATTGCAGTAGTCAATGAGAGCCATGCTATTTCACATGGAGTAAGGTACATCCAACCCATCTGATATCCTGCCAGATACGGACTACATGCTGCCTGCCACCTTAGAGCATATTTCCATTCCCTGCCTATCGTGTTCAATCCACATTCATGTCAGATCACGCAAATCGCCCACCAGCAAGTCAGTAAGAGATCGCGAACAACAGCTGAAAGCCTCTGGTCAACTGATCCTTATCATGCGTCGACAGTCTTCCCTCACCCGCCAGCATGATGAGATTCATGGCCACCTCCGTGTTGGTGGGGAACGCCTTGGCGACGAGGGTGGTGACGATCTCCAGGCGAGGACGTAGAGTGCAGACGGCCAGGTGCATCGCCTCGTAAATATGGGATTTGTGGACGAACTTGGCGTCGCCGGAGCCACGCAGCAGGCCCTGCATCTTGCGATTGTACAGCAGCCGGTACTGCTTCAGCAGCCCGGGGGCCTCCTCGAAGTCCTCGGCCCAGATGAAGTGCAGCGGGTTGAGGTCGGTGGTGATCCAGCCGGGGAAGCTGGAGTAGCCCAGGTAGCGCGGCATGGTGTGGGCGCCGTCCCAGTCGACGAAGCCGGTCACGGCGCCCTGCTCGTCGACGAGGACGTTCTTGGCGCTGAGGTCGGGGACGCTGAGCACGAAGGACTCGTGGGGGTCGCTGCGGCGGCGGGTCGAGCGCGGCAGACAGTCGATCATCAGGTCGAGCAGCACGCGGCAGCCACGGTCGCTGGGGATCTCAGTCCACTGGGTGACGCGCTGCAGCCGGTGGCGCAGGTACGCGGTCGAGGACGAGAAGGGCCCGCACTGCTGGACGTGGAAGACGTGGCCACCGTCGTCCTGGTAGTTCTCCTCCCACTCGTAGCAGGGCGCCATCGCGTTGAGCTGGCCCAGCCGCTCGTCCGCCACGTCGAGCGACCCGATCTGCTCAAACTGGAACCCGCGCAGCTGCGCCATCGCCTCGGCCACACTGTCCAGGATCCGCAGCCGTTTCTCTTCGAGTTGCACGGGGCCGGACCGGTCGAACCAGGCCTCCGCCACCATGCGGCCGGGGATGTAGCTGAGCACGATGTAGGGCGTCTTGAGCGGGTTGGCGAATCCCGCGTCGAAGTCGAAGACGTCCGGCATCGGGATCATGGTTCGTTTCTTGATGAATCGCATCATCCGCGCCTGGCTGACCAGGGCTCGCTGTGCCGCCTCCGACATCTGCCCGTGGCGGGCGCTTGCAGGCACGCGGATCACGTACTTCAGTCCGTCGCTGAATCCAATGACGTGGATGAGGTTGTAGGTGCCGATCCAGTGCTCGAGGACTTTCGCGGTGGCTTGGGTGTTGGTGATGTATTTGCTGCGGACGCTGAGGGCGAGCTCTACCAGCGCCTCGTTGCTGATGTCGAACAACTTCCCAAAGCGTTCTTGGAGGAATTCATCGTGGGGCTGCTCTTCCTGGCTGACTGTTATCGGAGGCATCTTGATCGTGATATCAAGCTTGGGTCGGTGCGACGAGACGTGACAGGTTTAATATGATGCTTAGGGTTGATGAAACGAGGGAGGTAGATGAGAAATGAGGGTAAAAACTGGCGATCAGAGAAAGGTAACAGAGGAAAGATTAACACCACCTCGCAATAAAGAAAAAGGTTGTTGGCACGCGAAGTGAGATTTGTGTGCCTGGTATCATTCACTTGTTCTCAAATGCGAGATCGGCCTCATCTCACTTCGAGGCGGTTCGAAACACTGTCCCTGTAGTAACAGTTTATCTCTAGGGCTACTTTAGCTGCATGGTTGACTTGATCTATGGTATTCGAAGACCAAGATGATTCCTAAAGTATAAAATATTATATGACTATTTGTTTACATCAAAATAAGCCAGTGGACTGAATGTCATGGTTCACACAACGTTTTACAGAGGTGACAGGAATAGGAATTCTGGCATAAAGATATCTGAACCCGGTGCACTTGCAATCACAGATCACAACTAATATAGTTATTTCTATCCCAGTACATGCTAAAATTACGGGTCACTCGCCCATGCTTATGATCTCTTGCAATAAATCAAACCGAATCTTCTCCCCAACCCGACTATCTCTCCGGTACTCGGGATGTGTCATAACAACCGACCTCATCCACTGCGCCGGGGTAGGGAGCTCTCCGCTAGCTCGTTTACTTATCACATCCAAATACGGCTTCAGTCGCTTTCTCTCTCGCAATGGGGTGTCCATGTACTGCAGGTATGCCCATACGATGTTGATCAAGCCAGGAAACCCCGATGGAACCTCCGAGTTCTCGCCGTTGACGATTTCATCCATAGATAACAGAGCGTACTGCGCTGAGAATTCATAGCCAGCCTTTTCCGAGCCTCCCAACGTGCCAATCTTCTCTCTCATGCAGCAGTTGGACGTGCATGTCTCACACGTATGTGGCTGTTGCTTTGCTGCAGACCAACCCATACGACGAAACCAGATTTTCTGGTCAAGCGCAGCATTGCGCTTCTGAGCTCGCTCCATAGAGTCGCTCAATTTGTCGATGGGGATGTAGAGGTTCAGGTGGAAGGCGGTGATGGCGCGCGAGAGAAGGTATATGAATATGGAAAATGCAGCATTGTCATGGTCTGTCAGTTGAACCTCCATGGGCCGAAATTCAACTCGCCAGCCGGGTCCGGAGTCGCACAATGGGGGTTTGAGCCGAACATGTTGCCATACACTATTGTAGAGCATATCGAAGAGACCCGTATCGCTGGCGTCGAATTGTTCGATATCTTCCCGACTCACAATAATAGGATCACGAGAAAGAACGGTTGCGAAGTGATGAGCCAGAGGCTCATCCATCCCGCCAGCTAGTAGACTCTGCTTGAGACTTTCGTCGGTCGGTTGCGACGATGACTTGCTTTCCATATCTAATGGTCTCTCTGATGAGATGTATGTACGATTCCAGGAATACCGAGGTGGCTGCTACGGTCAGTAACGTTATGGCACGTGGTAGAGGGCCTCACTCACAGTTGTGGCCAGCTCCTCGGTTGTGCGATCATCGAGGCAAGCAGAGAGACGTCCCCAACGCGTGTCTGTGTTCACCAAGTAACCTTTGTAAACAGGTGTCGCGGCGGTCAGTGCCAACAGAAGCGGTCCCAAAACCATGAGCTGATCGTGTAGCCATCGAGCTTCAGACTCATTTGGCGCTTGCATCGTGACTTGAATGCAGCAGCTTCCCATCCCGAGTTCAGGGCCATCGAGATGTATATGCCCCTCTTTCGAGTCGGCTGGAGGTGACTTTTGCGACGAATACTCGTACGACACAGTCTCGTCATAGAACGGTCGCTCCGTCAGCTTGTCTATAAAGACTGGAATGTGGCTCTCGAATCGTCCTTGTCGCCGGGCAATCAGGTTCTCTGTCGCCATGATATAACGTGTACTTGGATGGTATATTCGGTCATACGAAGCATTTCCTGAGCACGGTTCGTCCGGCACTGCGGCTGTGAACTGTCCCTGCGTACCAAGACCAGGCGAGACACTGAGAGTAACAGGATGCTGACCCGGTAGTAGACATTGTCGAATTAGTTCTCGCCTAATCTCAGATGATCATGTTAGAGCCTGGTAACGCAGGCGTAGAATATGACTTGCCGTAGCCGCATATTATTTTCCACCTTCAGAAGTGCGGTAATCTCTCCTCCGTATGGCTCCGCGGGAGTGGCTTCAATCATATACCGACCCCATTCTGGCTGAAAAGAGACTGCATTCCATGATTTGCTGGGTAACATCAGTGAAAGTCATTTTTGTCGTTCTTTCGGAGGGGGAGTGTCTCATGGTCTTACTCATTCTCTCTTGCGCAATGCTTTTCATATTGGCGCAGAACATTCTCCTGGCTCAAAAGCAGCGTGGCCTTGGATGCTTTTGCATCAAGATTGATCAAAGTGTACTCGATCTAACCAGTAAGCAAATAATCACACCATTGACGAAAGGCGAATAACTTACTTCATCTCCCCAGAGGGCCTCGGGGTCAATACGATATCTTTGCCTCGTCCAGATATGCAATAGTTGCTTGTCGCGGTTAACCTTCCTGTCCTATTAAATCGAGGGCGACTCTTACTTCTGCCGCTCCTTGGCGAGCGATAGGCGCAATGTCTTTGATTTCTTGCCAGGAGAGGGGAGCCGTGTTAAGACTTGAGTCTGGAAGTCAGTCTGACGAAGGTAAGAGTAACGAAGTTGTATGCAGTTCCACATACGCGGGGCCCATTGTTGCTGGTGTTGCTAAGATTTTGTTAATCGGCTCTCTGCTACGCCGATACACACAGAGGCCGGCATCAGAATAAATAGTTCCCCAAGGGTTTTGCATCCATTTGGTTCAGTCAACGTAAGCTTGGTTATAGGTACATCCACTAAATTCCGTGCCGATCATCCTTGAGAACTGTAAAGCACTCATCAAGGGCGTTGGCCGACTAGGATTTTCAATGTACGTAATGAGAGCGGGAGAAAAGCAAATGTTCTGATGCAGCGTTGAAAGTCTATGCAGTTGTCTATTGCCAATGATGAAATCGCGTCTAGCGGTAGCAAGCGATTGGGGAGGCCCCTTGCATGGTGGCTTCGTCAGCGTTGTCAGGGGAAGCGCCACCCGGCGGAAGTGCAAGCCATCGACGGCTCTTAGTTTCAAGAAAGGTTGACGTAGAGTCAAGAAGCGTGTATCATCATTGCTCTCTCCATCATACCGAGGCGGTCATTTTAGGAAGAGGCTTGCGTGGTTGACACCCCCCTGAGGCCGTCCGAGATGATCTGCTTCGACATACATATTTGGCTCCTTGGCACGGTCAATTAACATAAGCCACAATGGTGGAAACATTGAACTCCAAGGTGTCAATAGGATGCTGTCGGCCAGTTCACTGCGCATGCGCGAAGGCAATGGTCAAGACGATTCTCTGTCCGCACGCGGAGATATTGAAGGCGACGAGTGTTCGAAATTGTGAGCCTTTGAACTGCAAGGGGTGCGGATCAGCTGATTTGGCTGGATCGAGAGGATTTGCTTCGATGAGATGCTCTTTAGCGCAGACCCTTCCTTGGGGGTATATGTGTATCTCACACCCCACAGTACAATTCACAGCAGGCAGTCATCTTGGCTGCATGTAGATGCTCGTCATCACGTGGAGGACTCCCTGGTATGTGCCTTGCCCAGGGATGGCGGAGAGCCGCGTCTGCTGCGTGTCTTATTACGAAGCAGGGGTGGCAGGGAGGGGTGGGTTTCGTTCTTGAAATTGTCATCTTGAACTTTCTGTGGCTGCACAACATGAAGGTGAAAACTGAGAATTGGGAGAAGTTGGAGGGGCTGGCTGTCGCTTGGGAGAGAAAAAATGCTATACAAACATGAACCGATATGATAATGCGATGGTTGGTCATTCTGGGGGCCCCTTCCTATGACCTGACTAGCTATCACACGTGATCAATTTACCAGATCAATAATAGTATTACTTCCACTCTCATCGAATACGTATATATGACAGGGAACAGGTCTAATTATACATCCTGAGCAATCCAACTCCACTACTTGCTCGATCGAGCAAGATATCATCAAGCGAGATCGTCAAGGAAACCATTATTGCTCAGCCCAGCTGCTCCTCCGTCTCAACGCCTCGCCATACCTCCACAGAAACCACGGAATGGGACACCCGATAACCAGCGCCGTGAATGCCAGAACAGAATTCCCCCAACCATACCCCAGCGCGCGGTACATGGGCGGACTAAACAGAGGAAACCCGAAGCCCGTAAGCCCCCGCAGGATGTATACACCACCGTTGGCGCTGGCCGCGTAGACACTGTACGTCTCGAGGAGGTAGGCGTTGGTGCACTGGAAAATAATTGTGGCGCCCATTAAGGGCAGGGCAATGCCGAGATCTGGAAAGATCCAGTGTGTATGAGCCTCAGCGGTCCACCCGTAAACGATCAGACCGGCTGGAATGAGAAGGCTGGCAGGAATCATCAGCGGGAGGCGGAATTCAGGGTTACGCTTTTTGGATTTCTGGTTGGGAGTGTGTTTCTCTTCCAAGCCGTCAGAATTGGCGGTGGGGGCATGCGAATCCTGCTGTTGCTGCAGCTGCAGCTGTTGCAGTTGTTGGCGCCGCTTTAGAAAACAGTAGATTTTATCGGCAACAACAGCACAGGTCTGGGCACCGAGAAGGTAGCCTATGCATGGGGCGAAATAGTTGAGACTGCCCCGGCTAGTAGACATGTGATATTGCGTGGTCCACAATGTAGAGAAAGTCGAGAGAACAAGGTAGACCAGACCGTAGAGGTAACCATAATAAAGAGCTAATGCCTGAACAATCGGTTGGGTAAGAAGCAAGTGAATGGAGCGCAGGAGGGTGCGTTTGTAGAGGTGAACCAGGGTCTCATTGTCAGGCTTATTGGCGTCATCCATGTCGAAGCGGGTGCGAAGCATTGCGTCTTTATGTCGCTGCAAAGACTGCAGATGGTCTTTCTTGCGTCGAAGAAGAACCGGTGCATATGTCTCTTTGGATAGACAAGTCCCAACCAGGATGGTGACGCCAGCGAAGATAGAAGTAGCATGGAACGCCCATCGCCAGCTCGTGTAGTCGGTGATATAGGCCCCAGCTATCGGACCAAGACAGGATCCCAGAACCGGGCCCATATTTAGAAGTGCAATGCTGAGACCGCGCTCCTCGGGACGGAAGCAGTCGCCTATTGTGCTTGATCCAACCTGGCTCACGCTGTTAGTGCATGGATGCCCTGTGAAGATGAAAAGGGGAAAAGAGGGAATACCGCCAGAGTTGCGCTCGCACCAAGTCCGCTCAGTAATCGGAAGGCAAGCAACTGAGGAAAGTTTCGTGCAAATCCGCCAGCCAAATTAAAGACAAGAAAGAATGTATTTCCTCCTTGTAGAACAGGTACACGTCCCACGAGCTCACTGAGGGGACCTAATAGCAGAGGCCCCATACTATAAGTGATCAAGAACAGTGACACTGCCAATGGGCCTGTTGACGTGGACGTGACATTTAAATCAGTCGAGATTGTGTCTACAGCTGGCGCAATGATTGTGGATGACAACGGCATCAGGAAAGTTGGGGGGATTAGAGTGAACAAGACAACCCATTTTCGAAATCTTGGCCATCTGTGCGGATGTTCGTCTGATTCAAAATCGATGATGACCGTAGACTGGCTGTACTGCACGAGGGAATCTTGCTTCTCTTCCTCTTGAGCGACTCGGTAAGCTTTATCCTCCATTGTGAATATTCGATAGAAAGAGTACGTTCATCGACCGAGTGCGAAAGAAGACATTTGACATACTTGTATCAATTGATCTGATCGGGAAATTCGAGCAGGAACAAACTGTGTTGCAGGATGAATCTGAAACCTCCAATGATGTACATTCTTGTGAAGCCACTTGCGTAAGCCCTTGAAACAACATGATGGTGTACAACGAGCCCTTGCATGATCTTCGTCGAATGATAATATCGCGATCTGCAATATGCATAGCCCCTGACAGAACTCGCAAGTAGGTCAGCATCGGCCTTATCGCCGAAATTATAAGGTCTACCGAATTTCCTGTCTTGGATGCCAGGGGCCGCTCATGTCATTGATTCTCCTTAGGCTGAGATTACAAAAGGAGAGACGAAATCTCTTTCAAGGTGCGACTGAACTCCTTTGTTGAAGATAATGGAGGGCATTATGTAAGGCCTTCTCCTTAAGTTAGAAGAGATAGCATGTAGTGGCTTCATGTCTTTGTAAAGAGATGTCTCGCTCCATTTTGAGCTCAACACTAACAGCAGATACATTCTCCCGCCGGGCTATGACTGAAGGATGTAGCAATGATAGGTCCTTTAATGTTTCGCCAAGCAGGTGACTATAGTAAGAGGCGATCTGCCTCTGTCGAAAAGGTCTAAAGGCAGTTTGAACCTGGCTTCTTGCGGATGATCTCATATTATGGTGGAATACTGGATCCAAGTTGCATCGACCTTCTGGTGTTCATCAAATCACACTCGTTGGGGTAATGTATTGTGGCATCGCCGATCCCAGTAGTGGTGATATCTTGATTCATCTGATAGGTAAGCTCAAGATTCAAGGTAGGTAGAGTTAACGATGAAGTTATCTGCCGCGCCGGTAGCAAACAAGGATGGCTGCAGTCTTACCTAACCTCAACGAGCTAGCCGGCTCATCTTAAGGTTCGGCCCGGAACTAGCAGTGCATTTTACACTGGCTAGTCCAAGGCAGTGGCAAAGCCGTCCATGAGCCATTGATAGATGGAGAACGGACGTTTCGGGCCACTTGGGCAGCAGCCTATGTCATCTATGGCCGATTTAGAGGATACGGTATGATGAGCATATGAATATCCTGCACTTGACAAGAAAATCACGATGGTTTGGCCAATGTATTCTCCGCCATTAGCAACATTCGAAATGCCATCAATTTCTCTAAGAATGTACAAAATGCAAAGACTACTCCACATGCTTGATCCATCTTTCGCCCGAGGCTGGCGGAGCAATGTAAGACAAGAAACACCAATCCTCCCCTGTAACATCAATGTCATAACGCGCCACAAGCTGGCAGGGTATCAATACACGAACGCGCAAGGTTTCTCGAATACGCAGCAATCAGTGGGCGGAGCCAAGTGGGACGAGTCAAGCAAAACAGGTAAAGGGAAAGGTATGATAGTGAGAGTGCAGGTATAGGCCAAAACACACAAAGGAGACGTCAAAAAGAGTGCAATCCAAGCGAGTCAAGCAAAGTGTAGGATGTATATGATGAAAAAAATGAGAATGCAGCTGATTATGTTGACCGCAGGCTGGCCAACCAGCGCTAGTTCCTAGGGGCCAGAATCGGGACGATGAGCATCGTTGATAGGTTCCTCCTGCTTGTCACTCTCGTCGTTCTTCTCAACCTCCGAGCTCGGTGCACTCTGCTCCTCTTCTCCCTCGTCGTCGTCGTCTTCAGAAGCAGCATTCTTTTCTTGAAGAAAGGTCCCCTCCGTGGCTGCAATCTCCTCCGCAGGGTTTTCCTGACTTTCTGTGTCGGACTTCACTTCAGCATCCTCCTCAGGCTGCTCAGCCGATTCCGCTTGCGCTGCCGCTGCTTCAGCTTCAGCTTTTGCTAACTCGGCTGCGCGCGCCTGTTGTCTCTCCCAGACCTCCTTGCGAATACGTTCATCCTTAGCGCGACGAAGTCTTTCAGCCTCTTCCACGCCTCCACTCTTCTTCAGCTTGCCCTCCTCAACAAATGCACCGAGTTCTTTTTGGAACTTGCCAACTCGACGAGTCTCAAGCTCTTTCTGGCGAGCCTTCTCTGCCCTCTCAATCGCTTCTAACCGAGATTCATGGTTGGGTTGCAGAGCACGCACCTCTCCAAGAACGCTGTCCTTGGCTTTCACCGGGTCGACTGCAGGATCAATCACCACATTGCGTGAAGTATGACGCAGCGCAGGACCACCGGTGGTATTCTGCATGGCTTGCTGCTTAGTCGCCTGTTCAACAAGGGCAAAAGTCTGAGCAGCTTTTTCCAAATCGTCTTGAAGATCAGCTGCGAGATCTTCTTGCATAGTGAGCTGATCCCGTTCCTCGCAAACCAGCTGAAGTTCCTTCTCCCAGATTTTGGTCCACACGGGCTTCTCCCGCTTGAGGAATTCTTGCATCTTCTTGATTTCCTTGGTAACGGCACTGATATCCTTGCTGACAGTCTCGAGTTGCCTTGGAAGGGGACGAACACCACGGCTCACCACATCCTTGCGAAGATCCTCAACGAGATCCTGAAGATCGTCTACCCGGGCCACGAGGCGTTCGGATTCTTCAGCAAGCTCCTTCTTGCCAGCATTCACGCGCACACGACCAGCATCGCCTTCATAGGATGGCACAGAAACATCTGCAGCGACAGTCTTCAGGCTGCCTGCCTTGGTACGAATCGCGTTCATCGAGCTGGCAATGTCTGAAGAGAAGTTGGAATACGTTTGGCGCAAAACGGCGAGATCGCGTCTCAAGCTCTGAAGTTCTGCAACTTGGCTGTCGCTTCCTGTGATAGGGCCCTTACGGCTGTCAGCGAGATTCGAGGTGGCTAGGCCAGGCGCGGGAGGTGCGGCGGCTAAGCGAGCCATTTCTTTCGCCGCCTCCAGCTGGCGCTCCGAAACACGCTGCATCATGCTCTCTTGGCCTTCAAGAGCACCCTTGACGCCTTCAATCAAACGACGAACTCCACCAAACTCATCATCGAAATGCTTCTTGACTTCATCCAGAATGTCAACATTGAGCACCAAAACAGATCGGTCCTTGACGTCACCCAAGTCCTCCAGTTCGTGGCGTACGCCAGAAACGGGATCCTGGATATAAATCTCCGGTAAATCGACTCCATTGTTGTGAGTATTCCAGGCAAACTTCTCGATGAAAGCCAACTGAAGGCGCCCAATGGTCAGGCCAGAATAGCCTTCAGGAAGGACAAATTTCTTGATTTTACTCCTGTATTGCAGAAACAAGGTGAGCTCCTTGCCTGGAGTTTGCTGTTCTGGAGAATATTGAGACGATTGCGGCGGGGTGGCGGTAGTTGCAGACGGAGGGCGTCGCTCTGATTTGGGAGTGCCAGGTAGAGCTGGTCCTGTCGGTTCCTTTGTCGGCTCAAATGCCTCGGCGAGGGTTGGTTCATCTGGAGGTTGAGGGAGTTCTGGCTGTCGTCCAGTCACAGAAGGATCTGCTACGTCGTCCTCAGGGCGTACCGGAGCCGTGTCTTTGGTGGTTGCAGCGGCTTCCACGGGTGACTGTGCACGAGCTTCTGCGTGGGACTTTGGGCGCTCCTCTTCGATACTGGGTACCTTCGAAGGTGTCTGCGCCGCGGCGCCTTTCAGGTCCGTCAACCGGTTGGTCGATCGTTGTCGTCCATGAACAGATCCACGCAAGCGCACAGCATTGAGAGATTCACGCACATCCCGACCACGGTTTGGAATGGGAGAATTTTGAGACGGAAGTACGCGAACTCCATTTGATGAGCCGCCCAAGTGCTTTTGTATCTGATATGCAGAAAATCGTCGAGACGCACGGCGCTCCAGTTCACCACTTCTCTGCAAAGCACCCAGTGCATCGTCCTGCTTTGGAGGAGGGGGCGGTGCGGGGTACGAGGCCGTAGTGGATGAAGCCACGGGAGCCTTCGAGGGTGTTGCGCTATCTGTGTGAGAGGATTGAGATAAGATACTCTGTGTCTCTCTTCTGGAGGCCTCGCGTTCGGAAAAGCTTGAGCCTCGCGCATCCGCTCCTATAGTTGATGATGTTCGCGCCGTGGCATCCTCCGCAGAGCCATTGCTTCCGTAGCGACGGGTTGATCGCTTCGGGGAGGTCACCGTAGACGCAGTTTCCTCATACGCCTGGTTCATGGCCGCCTGTGTAGCTGCAGCACTTCCAGCACTTGCCTGTCGACCGGGCAGAGGTCTACTTTCCTCCTTTTGCTGCCGAGACCGTAAACGAGCTTGCTTCTTTTTGAGTCCATGTAGGAGATTGATGATGATGTCACGGATGCGGGGGAGGTAGCGATCGAGGGCTTGTGGAGATGCATCTTGACTAAGGGTATCTTCAAGGATGGTGCGGAGGAGGTCTGGTACAGGGCCAAGATCTGAGGTGTCGACTCCGATAGCGTTGAATGCGCGACAGGCCAGGTTGAATTCGTAGCCCAACCGCACGTAGACATCGGAGACCTCGTTCTCCGATGCCTGTCGCCGGGACCATTGTGTCAAGGTTTCGAGCAGTTGTTTCGTGGCCACTAACAGATGCGTGACACTTTTCTCAATTTGGTTGATCTGTCTTTCGGGCTGACGGGGATCATCAGCACCACGAGGTCAGACCGGAACATTTGTGGAGCAACAATAAGGGGCGGTGACCAGCAGCGGCGCGACTTACCACTACAGTTTTCGATGAGGACTGAGAACGTGTTGAGCTAGACGAGCTGCGGGGCGCAGAAGCCATAGTGGACTCGACACTGCTTCCCGAACCGGAGGGAAAATGTTGGCCGGAGGGACTTCGCTGCTGGGAGCGAGAGGTGCTGGAGGTGGACTGCATGAGTGCAGCAGACAAGGAAGCTCCGAGGAGGCTCGGTTCAGGGCCAGCAGTGGTTGAGCCGGGAAATGTGCCGGTTTAAGTGCAACGAGCAGACGCAGGGAGCAAGGAAACGGGGAAGAGGACCCGAAAACTGTCTCAGAGGATTTGTGTAAGGGGAACGAGCGGAGAGACGGTCGAAAGTCGGATTTGGGAAACGAGACCCAAAAGAGGCCGTACAAAAAGAGAAAAAGGGAGAGGGGTCGAGAAAAGGAGGGAGAGGAGGCAGGATAGAAAGGATAGGAAGCACGAGGGCAGAACGAGTGTCTAAGGCAGGATAGATAAGTATAGCCAAGGAGCCAGCCTCTTTCTCACAAGATGAGGGGTCCGGTGGTAGTTAGTTGGTGGTGGGAAGTTAGTGGTGATTTGAGGTGGTGGTGGTGATGGTGGTGAATTTAGGTAGAACAGGCTAGTTCTAGTAGGTACCGTAGTCGGGGGAGACGGACTTAGGAGTGGATTAATTAGTTAGTGCTCAGTCTAACAGTCTAATGAGGTGTTAGCCAGGCTGTAACTAGAGTGTAGATCTGACAGTTGGTTAGTCTAGTTGCCAGTGTGCTGTTGTTGTCTTTCAAGTTGTCTTTCTTGGGCACCAAATCAAGTTCCACACTTCACGACATTCAGCCCCCAAATTTTAAGTCAGTCAATCTCATCAATGATTGTCCAGTCGCTACGGCAAGTGCGCTGGTTAGCGCCGGGTGTTTATGCCTCAGGCATCAAGTCTCCACTGCCCGATAGGCTCTCAGGTCACCTGCTCCACCAGCCTCCGGGATTTACCAGGCGCATTGCAGCAGCCCTGAGCTTCCCTTTCACCCCACAGCTCAGCTGTGCTGATAAGGTCATTGAACAGGGTCTAGGATGAATTGGCGTGTGGATAACTTTCTTTACGTATATATCAGTGTACCGCTTCCTCTTCATGCTGCCATAGAAATGAACACTGCCGTATCACAGCATCTCCTTTCCAGCTACTACACCGACCCGTGGGTGGAATACACGATCTTAGACATGCCATGCAGTCAAGTGCACTTCTGTGTCGTATTCACTATTGAGTCCCACCCGAGCCTTTAGCTTCGGGAACAGAATTTGTACCTTCAAGTTTCAACCCTCTGCGAGGCCCATCACTGATTGCTGCAAATCGCCGATAAGTTAGCCAGTCGATGCCACTACCTACGTACTTCACTCTGCGAGCCAGTCATGATTGCACTATTGCTGATGTAGCAGCACCTGACCAAATTTTGGAAGAGTTTCACCCTTGTCTGTTTCAACCTTTCTTACGTAAAGAGCCTGTACCTATTTTTAAACTCAACACAAGACATACCTTAGTGCACCATCATCACTACTATATCAGTCAAAATCTCCGGCTGAATCTCGCTCGACTGATAGACTTCTAGATTCTGGGTCTAATTCACTGCGTACAACTCGCGAGTTATTTGCCGTCGGATGGTCTGACTTGACAGGATGTCGCATGGCCTAAATGACTACTTCCAGTTGTCACCGTCTCTCAGTGAGGGTGGGAGGCACCTAGTAGTTCACGGTTCGTTCCCGCTACCCCAACGGAAAGTGCTAATTGGTCTACGGTGCTATGTGATATTCTGGGCCTGTTTTGCAGCTCTGAAGCTCTCACACACCGATATTCGAATGGCTACTAGCACAAATGCTGTTTTCTCTGGGGATTCGGGTCAACATGCCCTATCAAGGCCGGATGTTGCCTCTTATGACCGCAAGGTCACCGTAAGGCACGAGCTTATCGTTCACACTAGGGATACCACCACTCATCAAATCAAGCGCCAGTCTACAGTCAGATGAAGGTCCGGTTTTGAGACCAGGGATTGACTCGTACGCGGATTGAACTGTCCTGTTGTGAGATTTGTCGGATGCGTTGGCCGTACGGTTAACCCTTGCTCGGGGACATCACCAGTAAAGACCCTTCAAGTCACAACTTCTTCTGCGCAGATGAGAGCCGCCAACGCTGCTGCTGTTCAGCCGCGCTGACAGCACAGAGATCAGATGAAGCGTCTTGAAGGACGTGGACTCAGAATAAAGAGGTCCTATGCAGCAAGGGGTCATTCCAGATCTCGGGGGTACTGATCCGGTCAACATGTCCGTAATTGGTATAATTAGTGTACATAGTATTTCAAACTCCAGTGACGGTGGATCAAATGTGCTCGGGTGGATTATGACAGGCCGCAAGGCCGAGTCCATTCATGTTGGGGATTGGAGATTGGCAACCCGACGGAGGGAGAGGCATAGGCATGTGGAGTGAGGCGACATGGTGCGTCTCAGTAGCGAGGTGGAACAGATGCACACACACATACGCATGTGCATCTCTGCATTCTGATTCCCTGGAGCGGACGCATAAAAGGAGAATCGCTTTCTTTGTATCGTTTCTTGATAGGTTATTAAAAGAAGGGCAGAAGACAGAAGTTATCTAGAATATGATTTTGCTTACTGCTAATTCATACTGGTTCCTACCCTATGTAATAGGTGAAGGGAAAAGGTTGAGGATGAAGCATGACGGCACCACCAACACACTTGATTTAAATTGTGTACAGTACATACAGTACAGTAACTTAGTACAGTACTGCGTATAGTATAATTCATTCCGACCCAGCCAATCTTCATTAGACAAGGTAATCATCGTTGTAATGGGGATGAGAACAGCAGCAGCAGCAGCAGCAGCAGCAGCATGAAGAATAATGTTAAGGTAATGGAAATGAGCATGGTGTCTTCCCCACCTACGCTTTTGCACCACCAACCAAGGGTCTCTGATGTCCACTCGGAATCACTGACAAGCTTAACCAACCCCGACCTTACCGTAATAATGTGGTTAGTGCAAACCCGTAACCGTTCCAGTCCCAGTTCCAGCTCCAGTTCCATCACCACACCTCTTTCTCTCTCTCTGTCTCTCTAATCTTGACGCCGACCTCTTCTGGCTTCTCTCCTCCCCTCCACACCCTCCCGCGCCCGCCTTCCCCCCCCAAAATATTATTGATCTCTCCTTCCTTCCCTCCTACTATCAATCCCCTCCGGTTGACAGCCTCTCCTGACGACGTCTGTCTTGATCAAGACGTTGTCTATTATTTCCTTTCTCTTTCTGTTATCCTCCTCCTCTGAACGTCAGTTCTTCCTTCGTCTTATTTCTCCACCCTAGTTTCTCTATTCTTTCTTCATTTCAATTCCACCCCTCTCGTCAACTGTCGGTGGAATTCCAATTGGAGGTCCCGTGACTTGTCGCTGGCTCGCCTGGTCTGCTCTACGTCCTCTTCTTTCCACCCCCGCGCTCCTCTATCCTTTGCTTCTTCCTCCCATTCCATACCTCTATCGCCGTCCGTCTGGCACTGTTCGCGCAGGCGGTGTGTTACTGGCTTCGTGCCTTCCCGTCCCTCCAGTTTGCGACTTTACGTCGTGCGCCGACGTAGAGCTCTATCGTCACTTGGCGATCCAGCCAGATGGCTTCAACTGTCAACTCCGTGCCGGCCGCAAATAATGCATCCGGCAATGCCGTCAATGCGCAGAATCCCAGCGCTCGGCCTACACTGAGATCCAGCGCCAGTACCAAGGCGTCTGATGGAAACCGGCGTCAATCTGGTAGTCCGCTCGACGGTGGACAGAGGTATGTTTTGTTGTCCCGCTCATTGCTACCTGTTGCTTGCGGCCCTTTCCTCCGACCGACTCACCTCATTGCACCCTATTCACCGCTGGTCTTCTCCTCTGCCCTTCTTGACTTCATGGTTCCTCCTAGGGAGCCTGAGTCCATGGACAATTGTCTCAATTGACGTTGCCTTGTCCCGCCTGTGCCTTTTTACGTCACCTTGCCCTTGGATACTCCAAAATCAGTTCTGCATGATATAGGTCTAGACACATACTAACTAACAATTATCCTCTCAGACGCAGTAACTCCCAGAAGGCTTGGTCACAAGGAAACCCAATCACTCAGCGATCTTCATATGCGCAGCAAAACGGCAACATGTCCCAAAAGCAGCCAGCCTCGTTTAAAAATCCCTCCAAAGAGTCTAACACGCCTGATAACCATGCACATGATCGCCTTGTATTCTTGCTCACCAGCTTTATTGTAAGCTTCATCCAGCCACGATGGTCGTTTAAGTTACAGCTCAGAAGCTAACAACTATTAGGGGCTAACTGCGACTGTCACAACTAAAACTGGAGAGAGATACACCGGAGTCTTTTCCTCTGCGTCTCTAGAGCCCAACGAATCTTCGTTCCTTCTGAAGATGGTTCAACGACCTAATAAGCAGGAACAGCACAGACCGAATGGAGTGAGTGAGGCTTCTAGCCCATTCATGGGATCTGCACCGGATCACAGCATGTCTTTTGAAGTTAAAGATATAGTCGACATCTCAGTGTCCGATGTTTCCACCACTGATGTTCTTGCCAAGGCTCCGAACGGTACGTTTCTAGTCCCCGCGTCGTCTTCATAAACTGACAACTTTTCAGGTGCCTCCGTAGGCTTTAAGACTGATACTGACATCTCCGGCAACCTCGCAATTCGCGAGCGGACCCTGAAGCGCTGGGAGCCAGCAGCAGACACAGATGTGGATTTGTCCCTAGACGGCGCAAATGCCTCGTCCGGATGGGATCAATTCGAAGCGAACGCAAGACTTTTCGGCGCTACTAGTAGCTACGACGAGAATATTTACACGACCAGGATTGATCGCTCGGATCCTGCCTATAAGCTGAAGGAAGCAGAGGCTGCTCGGATCGCCCGCGAGATTGAAGGCACAAATACGGACAATGTCCATGTCCGTGAAGAGCGAGGTTTGGCGTCTGCGGATGACGGGGATGAAGAAGAGAAATATAGCGGTGTCCGCCGTGATGAGAAGGATTTCCCACCCCTTATCTCCGGACAGCCAAACAAGTACACCCCACCAGCCAGGAGGCAGAATGCCGCTCAATCCGCTGCTCTCCCCGCATCCGCAGCCCCTGCCCGGTCGACCCCCACTGTTCCG